ATAGAGTATTTAATGAAACGGGTAGTTTTTAACAAGTTTTTTTAATATTTCTCTCATCAATATTAAATGAGAATAAAATTGAGAAACTAATGATAAAAATTTAATAATATGATCTATAAAATAGAATTAAATATCATTCTCTTTATACTCCCCTCCTTTCAAATTATAAAATATTTTTAAACAAAATATAACATATCAATGAATTTTATTAAATACATTTAACAATTTTATTTTTTAAATAAAAATATAAATTTTTAAAAATATCTTTTATTTACGAGACAAAAATTAAATAGAAAAAAAGGTAATACTATTAGAATAAGCACATTTGATAAAATTTTAATTTTTTTAAAGTATTTTATATTTTAAAATACTGAATCTCATTTAAAAATATTTTATAATTTAAAATAAAAGTAGTGTTTATAAATAGTAGTACTTTTCTAAGGTTATGAAAGGTAATTTTATTTTGCAATAAGTAACAAAGTACTTTAGAGAGGTTTTCCTTTAAAAATACTGAAATCTTTAGGATTCACGGCTTTCTATTTTTTTAAAAAAAAAAATTAGCTGTGGCTTATTTTTGGAAGGTTCATAACCTTGCACAAAAAAAAAATTAGGAAAATTCTTACACGAACTAGAAATACCACCTCATCCATTTTTTATGCAAAAAATTATAACATTTCAATCAATAAAATTTTATGTGTTATTATTTCTAATAATCTTTTAATTGATTGCTTTTTTAATGTCTTTTCTTATATTTTATTATTATCATGACATAATCAATTTATATTTACAACTAACATCTGTCATGAAATATTTTTATTTGATAATAAATGATGTGATGCACTTCATCCACACAATAATTTCTCAAAATGATGGATTAATGTTAGTTTTGACCAAGTCATGTATATATCTGCCTCTAATTGCCTGAATTGACCTTCAATGTACAAGAGGTTTATACTTGCTCGCCCGATTTGTTTGCCAAACCTAAGAACATCGAAGCTATGGCAGGTCGTCTTCTCCAATGATCATTAATCTATTTTGTCGGCGTCCTGTGTTCGAGCATTTACGTCCATGATATTGTTAATTTTCGGTTTATTACTTGCCAAAGCTTTAACAGCTAACCATAAATGAAGCTATTTATTGACTTTCAAATAGTCCAAATGGGTCGGATCAGTTTTGTGATTCATTAATTGAAAAAGTCTCAGCTTTCGATTTGTTTAGTGTAGCGTGGATCTCGAAAATCTCTCTCTCTCTCACACCCACCCAAGGTACGTGAAATCGGATCGATCATTGAATCGATCATGACACTAAATTATGGATTAATGGTTCAATCAGGAGTTGAATAGATGACAAATCGATCATAATTAAAATAATACAATTTAAATAAAAAGATATTAATTATAAAAAGTCAATCAAATCCAACCATTCAAAATTCCAACAATAATAAAATACAACACTTCAAATATCAATTCTTAATTTTTTATAATTACAACCCTTCAATCATTAAAAAGTCTAGAAGTCTAAAACTAATATTCACCATGGTCATTTCATTTCTTCAGGGCAAGGCTTGAAAAAAAAGCCCCCAAAACGACGTCGTTTTGGGGGTTTAGCCTGAAAAAAATCAACCATATTAACCTAGTCAACCTATCAAGTTAGCCAAGTTATACCGGGTTGATCGGATTAAACCGGATTAATCTCACACCGGTTTAGTCATAAACCCAGATTGGAGAAGGGATCGGGTTGTTGGGTTTTGGGTTGACCTGATTGATCCAATCCGAGTTTTCAAACCATGTTCTTACCCACACTCACACAGCTTAATTTAGTTAATTGGTTTCGTACACAAAAATTTGGAATTGATCAATAGCATTAGCAGCTTTTTCTTTCTCTTTCTTTTTTTATTTTTGAATGGGGCCGCGGCTAGCTAGATAGATTGCAACTTAATTTTAGTGATTTTCATACAGAACATGCTGAGGTTGATTTAAAAATTATAATTAAATAAATTCTCTTGCCAATATACATGAAGCCTATTAAATAAGCACACAATTAATTGATGATATATAGGATTTGGGACAAAATATGGAGAGATCGAAGCATGAGTAAATATATACAGAAAGAAGGGAAATCATAGAATATTATCTGAAGTAATGTTGTGTGAAGAATATTCCCCTTACAGTAAAAAAAAAAAAAGAATATTTCCCAAAAGTATTTATTTTTTCCTAGGAAAATTAGATAGCTTCGTACATGCATCCCCTCCTGCCTCTGTTAAAAAACATAGAACATTTTTAATTAAATTTTATTCTTAATAAATTAGTTAATGGTTTTTAAACTAATATATATTTTTTATATGTACTCTTATTTAATAATATGTTTCACTTTAAAATAAATATAAAATAATTTATTTTTGAAGGGCATTTTAAAAACATTAATTACACCTTCACATATTAAAAATATTTTATGTTTTTAAACATGCAATAAACAAAAAGCTTTTACATTTTCACACTATGAAGTAGATGTGATTCTGATATAAACGAGATGAGACCCCATTCTTGAAATCAAGAGCAAACGAAAATGATGGCTGTTTTCAAGCACAAGCGGATCAAAGTCTAGTCACATGGGGCCGTATATATTCAAACGGGAACAGAAACCTCGTGAACAACGCATGAAGTGAAAGGCTATAGCTTTAATTCCTCGATATCTTTTTATTATTTCATCAGATATTCCTCTATGTTACTTGCTCTTCTCATCTTAATTAATTTAATTCTATTTATAAGATACTTGATAATTTTAATATCACTCTTTATATTTTTTATTTTTATTAAATATTTTAAATAAAAATATTAATAATAAAATTTAAAATATTTATTAAGAATAATATAAAAATTTATTAAATTTTATGATAAATTTAATAAGATTTAAAGTTTTTTATTTTTAATAAAATATGTTGAAAATGATTTATAGATAGAATAAGAGAGAGTATTTCATTTCTTGATTTAATTGTTTGATTAGTAGTGTTGTAGAAAAAATTAGGCACTCCTAGTCTCAAGTATCATGATTGAATAATTGATTATACATCAATATTAGTTTCACATGTGCGGGATCCTTCTTTGGTCCTCATCTTGGCAGTGAGGATTCAAAGTTTGTTTGTTTTTATGTCTCCATCTTTTTACAAAGAGATAATTATAAAATTATATTTATTTTAAATCTTTATACATCAAGAATAGTTTGATACGTGTGAGATTCTTATTTGGTACTCATCTCGGCAATAATCTTTTTCAAAATGGATAATTATATTTTATGAATAAAGGAGATAATTATAAAATTATAGAGGATATCCCCTGCAAATGCAGAGCAGGGAATTTTTTTTGCATACATATTTATAAAAAATTACTTATAATTTTGTTTGGAGTCGTGAAATGAAGGAACTTCCAGCTTCTTGCGCAGGGGCGCAGAGCGCAGTGTCGTTTAATGCATAGATTTCAAGGCCGGAAAGCCGGAGCAGTGGGATTAACGGTGAAGAACGGAACCAAACGAAGTGTACCCATTGCTTTGCATTTGTTTTTTTTTTTTAACTTTTACTCGGTCTTTTCGAGATTCGAATCATGATTTTTAATATCCTTAATAATTTACGATTCTATAACTATATATGTATTATAATCTTTTTTGAAAGAGATCCAGAATCTCCCGATCTTAAAAATGCCGAATATCAGGAACGATCAAGATTATCTGTGCGTTTTACATGTTTCTAAAGATGCAAATAACAAAAGTTAAATTCCATATCAATGGGCATAGAAAAAGAAATTAAACAACATGAAATGAATTATAAATATGCAAAGGTTAGGTTAGTTGTCACCAACCATGCATGTTGCCACCTTGACATGCCTCATGCCTGCTTCTCCCTTCCCTGCCCACTGGTCCACGACAACCTTAGTGGCTTCTGCTTGTGTGTTTGAACTTTGAAGTTCGGTGTTCCTCATTTGTTTCTTTTAACAAAAAACCCATCTAATATGTTTTAGGAAATATGACAAAAAAATATTCTTAAAATATCTAAATGATAATTGAGCACCATAAAATATGATAATTATTATTTAAACCTTAGAGACTTGTATAACATTTTAATCATTGATAAAATGACATATTTACTCCCAATGACTATTAAATATCAGGAAATGATTACCTTAATTAGGTTATTGATTAAAATAAAATAAAAATTGACTACGTTATTATTTCTGTAAATTTTTTTATTGATTAAATGCAACTAAAAAAATTATTTTCTCATTTGTTATAAATAAAAAATGTGCAAAAAGTAGATAATCACTTTTTATCCTGTTTAAGTATAACCCAATCAAAAGGGTCAACTTATCACTCAAGTGTTAAGAGCAAGAGTAATTTTTAAATATATAAAGTATACCATATCATTTATATTCTATCCAATCAAAATATAATATTCACATGATAATAAATATAATTTAATTTTAATATTAATGATAATAGATGGAGAAAATGCAAAAAATTAAATATAAATTCTGTTATAAAAATAAAATCAATTAAAATAGTATTACATAAAATTTTATTTAAATAATTTAAAATATTTTAATTAATAAATTATAAATAATGTAGTGCACTCAGTTTATTTAAGAATTTCTCAGCAATAACAAATATATCATTCTATCAAAAATAAAAATATCAGACAAGTTCCTACTTCCTAGAAATTAAATAATGATTATCATTTGACCAAAAATAATAATAATTATCATATCCTGCAATACTTAATTATCATTTACATATTTACCAAATTTTGTTATCATTTACATACTTAATTCTGTTATCATTTACCAAATTCTCGTAATAACGCCTAAAATAAAATTTGATCCGGTAGTGATTCTCAAAATAGCTTTGTGGGGGGTCCACCTAAATACACTCCTCCATCTCTAGTCTCTACCGCCATCCTTCTAGGAAAAGCCGTTTTTCCAAATTCTCCATTTTCCGTTGCTTCTTCTTCGATTTCCTCACCTTCCCTTCCTTCTCTCCAATGCTCACCAACCTCTTTTCTCTCACCTTTCCATGCCCAAAGTTTTGAACTTTTCTTCTCCTACCTCCTTCCCTTTTCTCGGATTCATCGTATAAATTTTCCACATTGTCTGCACCTACCTCTTAAAGCCCCGCCCCAACAATACCCTTTTTGAGCTTTCTTCTTGCCTCACCTAATCTACGTTCATTAGGTGTACACCTTCATCATGAACTCTGCAATTAGGTGTGCACCTTCTTCGTCTCTGAGCTTCTCTGCTTTCTCAGCCAGAAAGCCTTCTGTTCGAACCGCTCAATCCTTTTACACATTACCCGCAGGACGAAATGCTCAACCCAACCCGAATCTCTCTGTTTCTTCTCACAAGCCTCTTTACGTGTCATCCACCGAGAATTTCTCGTTGGTGGCAAAACCCAGAAAGAGGGGTTTAGAGTGTGAGGCCTATGAGGCGGATAAGTCACGGCCGTTGGAAATTAGTGTTGATGAGGAGGCTCGAGTTCAGGCGGCTCAGAGGCTCAAAATTGGTTTGTATTTTGCGACCTGGTGGGCATTGAATGTGGTCTTCAACATATACAACAAAAAGGTTCTGAATGCTTTTCCTTATCCCTGGCTCACTTCCACTCTCTCACTGGCTGCTGGTTCGCTGATGATGTTAATCTCATGGGCCACGAGAATTGCTGAAACCCCGAAAGTCAATTTAGAGTTTTGGAAGGCCCTCTTCCCTGTAAGTGAACCTTGCTCAATTCTGCTAATGACATGACTCTATGCTATATATAAATATGTGAAGTGGTTTCATGTTTGATGTGTGCTGGATGCATTGGATACAAAATAGTTTTATTTCTGTAGTGTCAGTATTTCATCTTGGCATAGAGACACAACAAGATTCGAATCATATGATTCTGTGTTTATAATGCATAACAGGATGGGTCTTGGGTAAGAACCATAAAACTATGAGCTAAGGACCGACCGTTTTTCGGGTGTGGTTAGGCAAACTTTGATTAGTAGGCTTATACCTGGAATATCTGGCCAGGGAATGCCTAGTGATTGGGAGATGGGATAGGATTGGTTTTGATGTATATTCCTTGCCATAATTACTGAAATAATTTGGTTTGAAGGTTGCTGTGGCTCACACGATCGGGCATGTTGCTGCAACTGTGAGTATGTCAAAGGTTGCAGTTTCATTTACTCACATCATCAAGAGTGGAGAACCTACTTTTAGTGTCCTGGTTTCAAGGTTCTTGCTCGGAGAATCATTCCCTATGCCAGTGTACCTATCACTTCTCCCCATTATTGGTGGTTGTGCACTTGCTGCTGTGACAGAACTCAATTTCAATATGATTGGTAAGGGCATATACTCTAATATTCACATGCATATCAGAATCTTCTTTGAGAAAGAGAGACTGAATGTATTCTATTCATATGACATGTTTGTTCTTATATACTACATATCTTTTTTCATGTTTTAGGGTTAATATATCCTTTGCGTTACACATGTCAGTATTCATACTTGTTAAGTTCTTATAGTGTACAGTTTGGTGAGGAAGTTGATAATGCAAACAAGCCACTAATTAGGCAACTATATAATACATCATGTTTCAGGGTTCATGGGGGCCATGATCTCAAATTTGGCATTCGTCTTTCGGAACATATTCTCAAAGAAAGGGATGAAGGGGATGTCTGTTAGTGGAATGAACTACTATGCTTGTCTTTCTATGATGTCTCTTTTAATCCTCACGCCTTTTGCCATTGCTGTGGAGGGCCCACAAATGTGGGCTGCTGGCTGGCAAACTGCTATCTCTCAGATTGGTCCCAATTTTGTATGGTAAGTCCAACCTTTAATTCTCAGTGCACACTCATGCTAATAGTCTCTTTGTGTTGGTGGAATTTCATTTTATTATTGGCTTTTGTACACCCTTCTGTTGGCCTAAACTGTAGTTTGTTGATAAGAAATGCAAAATTTAGTTACAACAACAACAAGCCTTATTCCACTAGGTGGGATCGGCTATATGGATTATATAACGTCATAATTTAGTTAGATGAAAAATATTTTGTTGGTATGTGAAAAGCATAGTTATTGATGAGATCCAGAAATGCAATTGATTGAATGGCTCTAAAAAACACTTTACTTTGTTGTCAAGTGGCAATTTTCAGTGTTGTCCACTGTTAAACTTTATGGTTTTTTTCCCCCATATTATGTTGAATTAATAAACTGGTTTGAAAATTACACAGGTGGGTGGCTGCTCAGAGTATCTTCTACCACTTGTACAACCAAGTATCTTACATGTCTCTTGATCAGATTTCCCCATTAACGTTTAGTATAGGGAACACAATGAAGAGGATTTCAGTTATCGTCTCTTCCATTATCATCTTCCGCACGCCAGTCCAACCTGTCAATGCCCTTGGGGCAGCCATTGCAGTTCTTGGCACCTTCTTCTATTCACAGGTTTATTCTTGTCTTTTTTTACATTAATGTTCATTCTTTATTATTTTGAGGCTCCCAAGGGCCACAAATACTTTGTTATCACTTTCTGCTTTGAGTTCACGGTTTGTCAAGTTTGGTTAGAATTACACCCTCAAGTAATCTGACTAAACTAGAATAGTCTTCTTTGTAAGAATGAATGACCTGTCTAGTAATCACAGGACCTGTATAATTATTTATATTTTGCAGCATTCTTCTATACTAAAGCATTTTTCTCTCTGTGAATTTGTCTACTTTTCAGTTACTTACACTATATTGCATAAGCATAACTAACAAAATCCTTTCTAATTTGTGAACAGGCTAAACAGTAAGAATTAGCTTGGAAGCAGAGATTCTTGGTGATACCTGATTTATAGATGATAGATCAATTAATTAAGTCAATCATAAAGAGATAATTGTGGGTTACAAGTTTGTGTGCCTCCATGATTAGCTTAATTGGTCTATCTTTCGTAAACGCATATTACTTAAAAATTTCCTTTTTCAAGCTGTGTGCCACACCTGATGAAGAATGAATTATGACTGAAGTTGTGAGAGTCATCACATGGAAGGCAATTGGTGTTATTGAGCTAGTGTGTATTGTGGTCAACGGGACATGAATCTGGTTTATTTAAGTCCAAAATTATAGCATTTGTAATCAAGATTTTGGTATGGTTCATTTATTTGATTCTGTAGAGATTTTTTTTTTTTTAAATTCTTTGTTGAAAAATTTTAAGTAACTTGAATTTCAAGAGCTTATTTAAGTTAGAACAAGTCTTCCATCTCAAAGATTGCCTGCAAGATACTTTATCAACCATTGATATAGGATTTGGTGTTTTAATGGATGAGAATTTTTAGTTTTATCTCGAGATATGGTGCTAGGGAAAATTAATTAAAGTAGCCTTTGTATTAGTGAATTTAAATTTAAATTTTGGATTTAAAATAGAGGTAGGTGAGAAATGAAAATAGAGAGAAGGCAAAATGATTATAAAAAAATATAATAAAATATGAATTTAGATTTAAATTCATACATTTTTATGGAATGGTGGTTTTGGCTAAAATTTAAATGCAAATCTAAATAATAAAATGTAAGTCTAATTAATTAGAACAAGGTTTCAAAGCATAAACAAGTATCCAAATGATGGAGGTTGCTTAATTGATTTGACTCTACAAAGAGCATGAGATTTGATTGAAAAGATGATTTCCAATGAGCAACATTTCACCTCCAAAAAAAAGAGAGGTTCTATTATGTTTCTTCTCATGTTTTTAATGAATTTCAAGCTAAATTGACGAAGGCTAAAATTAGGAGGATACTTGCTCCTAAGATCTCTCAATTGAATCAAGTGGGCACTACTTTCCAAGTCCTTGTCCCTCCTACTTGCTAGAAAACTTTTCATCATTTGAACACGCATGTTTACTTGCTTTACTAGTAGTTTGAATTTCTTTAATTCACTACTTAAAATCAACTCTTGTTAATTTGTAAACACTTAGAAATAACCTCATAATCAACTTACCATAGTTCACAAGGAGATGATCTAGATTGCATTCTAACTATATTTAGGGTTAAGCTTAGAATTTAATTTTGTGTAAAGAAATATTCCATATCAAATTTTTAGGGTTCATGTGCACTTTTAAAGTCAATTTAAATAGATTAGGCTATTAGGGGCTAAAAGTGTAAAGTTATATAGAGTTCATGCATAATTCATGCGTACTTTAAAATTCATCAACATAATAAAGCAACTAATAAACTATTTACATTTGGAGAAATCAGACTCAACCAAGCATGAATTGAACCATATGTTAGTAAAAAAAAAATCAGAAAATTTTAATTATACAAAATTCATATGCATTGCTTTTAAAAAAAAAGTTTTTTTTTATTTTAATAGTAGTTTGGTCTATCTTGTTTATGATTAAAAAAGCTACTGTGGCATGCCCTTATAATTTTTTTTTTTAAGAAAAAGTATGCCAAAACTTTGGAAGAACAAAAGTGATTATAAAGAAAATGAATTTCAACATAATTTATTTAAATCTATATATATATATATATATATTTTTTGGTCTAAATAAATGAACTTATATACAAAATGATTAAGAATTATTTTTACTCATAAACTTTACTCGTATGCTTTGGGTATCTTAGACTGGACCATGGTCATTTTTGTTCGTGAACATTCAAAATTATGTGCCCGTAACCTTGTCATCATGCGTCTGTTAGTAGCTCAAACATTTGCATTTTTTTAATATCTTTTTTTTTTTAACCTCTCCCCTCTCCCTCTCTACTCCCTCCGTCTCCTGCTCTCCTCCATTCCCTCTCTCTGCAACTCATCGCAAAATGTGGAGCTAGTGGCGCAACTCGACCAGTCAGGGAGTCTGTTGGTGTACGCCACCATCGACATCGAATCCATCCAGCTCGCCATGTTCGACGAGGACACTTCCTCCATAGCTCTTCTTCCTCTTGGCTTTGTCATTGTTCCTGCAACAACCTCCGATCCGTCGCCAATATCAATGCCAATTCGACTGAACCTGCAGCCACCACCGGGGCACCCCTGCCGTCGCCGCATTCTTCTACTTTGAACCAAGCTTGTCTCTGAATACGCCGAAGAGTGCTCCATCAAGCAACTACATGAACACAGTCGCTGGAATCATGAAAATAACCCACCATGACCTGTGCAGTGTAGTCACTTGTGTAGTCCAGCGACTTCTCAACACAACATGGCTCCAAACATCAAATAGTTTATTTTCAGTTTCATTTTCAATCAGTTGGATGATATGCATCATAACAGGATAAAACATGGCGCCCTATGAAGATGCTATGAAGAGCAAAACTGTCGTTGAATCTTCACTTCAAAGCCTATGTCTTAAAGAAAAATACACGACTTGCAAGAGTGTTATTCAACAAGATTCAAGGCAAGCACCATGGAAACATCAGACTACAAATCACATCACCTCCGTCACTGATGAAAGAGTTGATTTTCGAATGAACAAGTATTCCTTAACATCAAGTAGGAAACTAGCCGCATCAATATATTTCAGAGGCCCCGCATGTGTTTTCGAGTATTTTACAGATAAGGATGCTCTCAAATCAACTCTTAGCAAACCATATTACGCACCAATAGTCTCTATATCCTAGTCTCCTTTATACTATGACCACTCTCATGTCATTGTCCTTTTTAATAATCAAATAAGTAATTCTTCTTTCAATCTTTTGATCCATCTCAAAAGCATTTTCAGATCTACTTTTCTCCTGGCGCTAACGAAAAAAGGGGGGGGGGGAACAGGGATCGGGATAGAACTAAAAGATTGCAAGTTTAAAATAAGAATAGCAACGAGGTAGAAAATAAGGAGTTTTGAGATTCTCCACCTCTGTTTACTATTTAAAAAGCAGAGATAAACAGAGAGTCATGAGCTATCTCGGGCGACTCCCAGAAGTGCTTGAACTTGATCAAGCGTTGTAAAATCCGAATCCCACAGTCCAACACAACCTGCAACTCCGTCTTCTGCTTTTGCAGCATTCGGCTTCACCAGATCGCCTCTCTCTGTTGGGCACTCTACTTCCTAGCCTGAAGCAGAAGAAGAAGATGACGATGAGGAGGAAGAAGACAGGCAAGGTGATAAAACAGAAGGAGGAGGAGGAGGATGGCCAGGAGCAAAAGACTTCGACGTCCACGGCCATAGAGGAGAGATTATTGAGGAGAGCAACAATGGGTAACGGGAGAGTGAGACAGGTTAGAAGATGAAGCGAAATTAATACTTTATTATAAAAAATATTAAAAAAAAGCCATGGAGGGAAGAGAGTCAGTTTTTATAATATTTTATTACAAAAAGTATTAAAGAAAAGTCACCTCGGCAAACTGCGAGCCCACTGACAGTGATGAAAGGCTGGTTAACATCAGGGTACCGAGTTAGGAGATTTCATATATTCATTCACAGATAAAAATGATTCATTTTAAGTTCAGGCGCTCACAAACTCAACTCTATGGGTAAAGTTCAGAACAGTGATTTTAAAATCAAACCATATCGAATGATTGAATCGATCAGATCATCAACCGGTCCGATTAATATATGAAAATTGTTTTAAAAGTTAAGTCAGGTTAAGCTGTTTTAAATTCAAGGTCAAATCGAAAACCGAAATCAAATTAAAATTGTATTCAATTTTCAAAAATTGAAAGATTCAAAAAAATCTTTTTATTTTTTATTGATTTTTTTTAAAAATAATTAATTTTTTTAACCATTTAATATTATATTATATCATGTCATTTGTTAATTCATGATAAACTTAAGTATTTATTTTTTTAAGTTAAGTAGCAATTTCATATTTATTTCTTATATTTAAATATTATATATAATTTTTTTTTTAATTTAATTATTACATAACTGATTTGACCATTTGTCCAACCTAATTGAACCATATGAACTGTGAATTGTTGACATTTTCAGTTCAATGTCCAGTCTGATTCTAAAACATTAGTTCAGAGACCCTTAACTCTATGTAAAAAAAAATTTACTACTACTTCCTCCACTTAAAACTATAAAACATTTTTAATTGAATGTTACTCTTAATAAAGTAGTTAACTATCTTTAAATTAATTATATCTTTTTTATTTATCTCAATTAAACATCCCAAAAATAAATGTAAAGTTATTTCTTAATAGAGATTATTTTTTTAAAAAATACAATAATTATATCTCAAAAGACTAAAAATATTTTATATTTTTAAATATTTAATTCTTTAAAAATATTTTATAATTTTAAATGAAGATAGTATATTTTTAAGATTTTTAATGGGTAACCTTATAAAAAAAAGGGAATTTACTAAATTTTAAGGATTTCCAATGCTGGTGTTGGGCCAGGCAATTTGAATAGGGTGGGTGTGACCAACATTCATTGGAGACCATTAACTTTTTTTGCTCCCGTATATTGAGTTCAGTTGTAACATTATTGGGCCTCAAATAGGGTAACTTTCACAAATTTGTTTAGCAATTTTGTGATGGTGCGTGTGGTGGTTGGGCAGAAGTTAATGATGGCGGACGCATTTTTTTATATGAAAAATTACACACCAGCTCTAAATAAGAAAATTAATTTCTCACATATCCTTTAATACTTATGAAAACAAAAATATGATTACAAAAATTGAAAATAATTCATTTTGTTATTTAAAGCTGATTGTAATCATCCCTTCTTGATATGTAGCTGCTTTGATAAATTGATTAGATCAATTGCACTAGGGCAAAGTCAATGCTAATGTTGCTTTGGTGGTTTATGATGATTAAACATACAAAAATGGCAACAACCAAATAAAAAGGAAATAGTATTTGGGTGAAAAATACTTAATTCAAAGCGAATTAACCATTTACAACCTGTATATATTCTTTTTAATTTGTACACTTTATTTGTCCAACTTAACTCGCATTATTTTAAAAAAGAAAGAATAAATAAAAATATCTTGCGAAAAATCATTCTAACTGAAATTTCAAAATTTCCGACTTGTAATTAACCCTTCTTGGATTCAGATTGAACTACAAAATCTAAGTTGAAAATTCTCTCACGCTCTCTATATGTATATTCCTTTATGTGTAATTGGAGCATTTCGGCCAATTAAATATTTTAATCTCACATGGGAGTCAAAATCTTTATGAAAAGGGCCTGCATAAATCAAAACTCA